GTCACAACACTTGCCCCGGCGGAAGGGGGCCTCCCCGGTCAAGCCCGGGTCCCGGAGGCACTCTACGCCCGTGACTGCGTGTGTGTGTGTGTGTGTGTGTGTGTGTGTGTGTGTGTGTGTGTGGATAGCCCGTCGCCAGCCGGCCTGGTCCCCCCCGGCTTCTGGCGGGGCCCAAGTCACCGGTCTCCGGTCGTGGAGTGTGGTGGATGTCCAGACCGCGGGCCGTCTGGTGCACGCGCACGCCTGTGCGTTGGAGCGCGTGCGAGCCCGCCCCCCTCCTCTCCCAAGGCTCTTATCGGTGTATTTTTCGGGCGCCCTCCGATGTGAGAGCCCTTCTCCTGGGTGGGAGGATGGCCTGGGGGGGGGGCCTGGCACACGGCGGTTGCCCTGGGTGTGGGATCCGCCGCCGTGGCGCCTCGGCCCGGCTGTTCCCCTTGCTGCCGTCTCTCCCTCACTCTCTCCCCCCGGGGGGGGGGGGCCTTCGTCTCGCTGCCTCGCCTCCACCCGCGACTCGGCCGCCGCCTCCCCCGGCGTGGGCATCTTCGCCCCCTTGCTCCGGGGCGCGGCGCCGCTGACGACAGGGGCTCGCCGTTGTCCGCCGTTGCGAGAGTTCCCCGCCCCTTCCCCTCGGGAGGAGCGCCCCACCAGACGGGGCGGGAGGGGGGGGGGCGGAATTTTTCGCCTCCAGCCAATAGCTGGCCGGAGTCTGGGCGCCCCTTATTCCTGGCGTTGTCACCAGTACCCGGACGCGCGCGCGCGCCAAACGGCCAGTAATTTTCCGCCCCTCGCTGGGAGGGGGGAGGGGGGGGGAGGGAACCTTTCACGCAAGGGTACGCGCCTCGTTCCCCTTCAGGGGCCCCTTTTGACGCTGCGAGACCCGGCAACAGACACCGCCGGTGAGAGGCAAAGGGGCCCCCCAAGGGTAGGTCCCCCTCGAGAGAGGGGCCGGCGCTCCCGGCGTCGGTCCAATGAGCGCGGGGGGAGAGAGGGGCACCTCGCCTGCTGCCTGCGCCTTGCCCCGCGCTTCGAGCGCCCGCCTACGGCCCTGCGCACACGATGTGCTGTGGCCATAGGCCCGGTCGGCCGGAGAGCCCCCGCACCACCCGGGGCACGGGCAGGCGGGCGACAGACGGACCGCTCGCCCGGTTGCCTACCCGACTCGCTCCCTCTCGGGTCCCTGAGAGAGAGACGGGGGCAGGGGTGCGATGAGAGGGAAACGGCGGCCATTTGCACGGGGCGCAGGGCGACACGGGGATGCGTCGGGCGGGAAGCACGACCAGGCTCGTCGGCCCTCCTGCCGGGGGCCCGCTCGGGTGGGGGAGATGTCTCCACGCGCCTGCCTGTGGACAGGCTCAGACCAGGGGAAGGCAGTCAGGCCCGGGCCAGCTCCCGCCGCAGAGGGCGCCGTGCGCGGAAGTAGGCCAGGGCGGGGGGGCGGGGGGGCGGGGGGGCGAGGGAGCCGGGTTGCCATGCCATCGCGGCTCTCGAGCATTGGTCGGGGAGGGGCGGCCCGCGCCGACGCACACTACCTTTGGGAGACAGCGGCCAGTTGCCTCGAGCAAGCAGCGAGGAGGAGAGGGACCAAGAGACAGAGAGAAAGCCACCACTCGGGGGGGGGGGGGGAGGACAGCCGGGCGGCCGGGAGTGCGGAGCAAGGCCCGCCGGCGCGGGCGGGCGGGGGGGGGGGGGCGACCGCACCCCAGCTCGGGATGTTATTTCAGCCCCCTTGGTGGTGCCAGCTTTTCCCCTGCTGGCCACCACTTGTTTAGGTTTGGTTTGTTTTTCCTGCTTTTACAAGAATTTCCTCAAAATGGTTCGTCCTCCTCCCCTCCTCTCGCCTCTCCTCCGCGTGTGGCGAGGCGGCCGCCTTTGCCTGCCACTCCCCCCCCCCGCCCACCCTCCCACACACGTCAACACCACGAGACACCTATGGCTCTGGGCCACCTAGTCCCCCCTCCCCGCTTCCCTTCTCGCGCGTTCGCCCGCGTACCCGGTCGGATGTTACTTTTATTTCCTGCATCTGACGTTCTCCCCCCCTCCCCTCCCCTCCCCCCCCCCGCCCGCGGCTGTCGTCCCCCGAAATCCAGTCCTCTGGTGTTGCTGTTTCCGACGATTGCGTCAACAAGTACAACGAGCTGAAGGTCGGCCGTCAGTACAAGTACATCTTCTACAAGATTTCCGAGGACTTCACCGTCGTCGAGGTCGAGAAGACCGGCTCCGCTGATGCCACCTACGACGATTTCCTTGCCGACATCAAGGCCATCCCCAAGGATGACTGCCGCTACGCTGTCTTCGACTTCGACTTCGACACCTCCGACGGTGGCAAGCGCTCCAAGATCTGCTTCTACGTCTGGTACGCGCTTGCATCCTCTTTTCGCCCCCGCACGCGCGCGCGCCCCCCCCCTCTAACGACCCCGTCTCCCCCGCCTCTCTCTCTCCACCGCCTCCCCCTCCCTCGGAAAAAAAACAACAACAACAGGGCCCCCGATACCGCCCGCATCAAGAAGAAGATGATCTACGCCTCTTCCAAGGATGCCCTCCGCAAGAAGCTCATCGGCATCGGTGCCGAGATCCAGGGTACCGATATCTCTGAGGTCTCTGCCGAGTCTGTCTTCGACCGTGTCTCTCGTGGTCCCGGCAACCAGTAAGTGCGCCTAGAGAGCCCCCTCCCTCTCCCCTCTTTCTCTCCCCCTCCGTGCGCGCGCGCCCGCGCCGGCGGCCGGCCGAGGGCAGGCGGAAAGGGGGCCCCCCACGGTGTGTACGCGCGTCTCTCGCTGGCGTCCTCCCTTCCTCTCTCTCTCTCTCCCCGAGTGCGGCAGACAGAGAGGACCCCCCTCCCCCGGCGGGAGCGCGGAAAGGGACGCGTGTGGTGTGACATCTCGTGTAGATTCCCCCTCGTCTGGTTTTGTGTAGGGCCTCAGTCCATATGCGCTTCACATTACACTCCCCCTACTCTACCACATCTCCCTCCCCTCGCGGTTCTCTCTCTGTCTCTCCCTTGTGTGTGACGTGCGCGCGCGCGTCCTTGGCCATGTCCCTCTGTGTGTGGTAGTGGTGGCGGCGGCGGCGGTGGTGTATTCCTGGGGGGGGGGGGGGGCCTGCCCTCCTTCGGTGCAGCAGGTCCTTTCTCATCAATGGGTGGGCGACAGGGCGACGGGGCCTCAAGAAGTCCGGGGCGGCAGAGGGGGAGGGTGTTGTCGGAGGGCTGGCTTCCCCCGCCGCGCGCCTCCCCAGCGCCTCGCCCTCCCCTCTCCCCAAGCCAGCCCATGTGCACACGCATAGGGGTATGTATGTGTGCGGGCGCGCGCCCAGCGCCTCGGGGACGTGCCCGCACGGCGCTCGTCTGTGGCGGCCCTCGCCGACGCATGCATGCACGCGACGGCTGCGCGCACCCGTGAACCCCCCACCCGCCGTCACCCCCGGAGTCGGGCCGCCCCGGCGGGAGTAGCACCACAGCACTGGTCCGGAGGCGCTGCTTCTGCTTTTACAGCGCCTCATGTGACTTCGCGTTGGCCCGGCGCGCCCAACCCTAACATCCGGGGCGCGAGCGCTCCTGCCAAAGCGCTGCCCATATATGGACATATTTTGACCCGTAACCATCGGTGTAGCTCAGTTGGTTAGAGCACGGTGCTTATACGAACTTACTGGTCGTATGCCTTTGGGACCCTACCCGGTCTCTTCTAAGCAACGCTGTGGTCGAGGGTTCGATCCCCTCCACCGGTACTCTTTATTTTGGGTCACCAAAACACCGCCACCCTCGGGCCGTTCTCCGGGCGCGCCTACGCCGGCAAATGCGGGGGCGGGGGGCGGGGGGCTCTTCGCCACCGACCGCCTTTTCGCGGCCCCCCTCCGCCACATGCACGGGTGGCGTATCAGCTTTTTGTGTATTGTCCAGGGAGGGGGATGACCATGCAGCAGCGTAGCAGGCCGGCCTATCCGGCAAGATCCCACAGATAGTTGGTGACAAAGTGCGCGCTCTGCTGCGCCGTGTCCACGGAGAAGGGCCGGACCCGGCCCTTGAGGGAGATGTCTGAGCAGGGTGGAGCAGGTTAGCGTGAGGTCGTGTGCAGGTCCGGCGCGAGTGAGGATACCCACGCCCTGCTCTTTTCCGCCCTCTCTCTCTCACACACACACACACACACACACAGACACACACACGTACGCCCGCTTAGCACCGATGTGCGCGCCTTGCCGGCTCGGTTCCGGCGTCGGAGAGACAGCTCGGACTCTGGCCCGGACCCTGGCCCCAAGCCGGGATCTTCATCGTCATCGCTGAGCACATCATCGCCATCAGGGACGCTATCCCACCGAATGTCCAGAATACTCTCGTAAAGCATCAACGAATAGCGCAGACGCGGATCGCTGTCCCGCGAGGCGGACATCGCCGCGCGCTTTTCGGCCCGTACCCGTGCCAGCTCGGCTGTCAGGTCGCGGATGCGATCTTCCGAGGCTCTTTCAGGGTGGGCGTATTTCCCCGCGTCCGAGTGGGCAGGACGGGAAAGGCACCGCCCGGGAGCAAATGAAACATGCGTGGAGGGAGGGAGGGAAGATGGTCAGTCGTGTCGCCGAGGCGGGGAGACAGAAAAGGAGGCGGCGGCGGCAAGAGAGAGAGAGAGAGAAACAGAGAGACAGAGGCAGAGAGAAACAGAGAAACAAAGGCAGAGGGAGACAGCGAGACGGAGAGAGGCGGGGCGGTGATGCGCTCCACACGTGCAAAATTAGACCCCGGGGGAAACGCACTGGCACAGTTGTTCGGTTTCCTCGATCTGTCGCGTCAGAGTCTCCAGCCGGCTTTCGGCGTCCTGCCGCGTCTTCTCTGCCTCGTCCCGGCGCTGGTCGACCTCCTGCGCCAGGAGCTCAATTCGCCGGTTGGCCTCATCAACGTGGCCGCGAAGGTTGGCCTCCAGCGCGGCACGTGCGCGCGCTTGCCCGGCCAACTTCGAGTGAACTTGCGCCGCTAGCTCGCGCTCCAGCGACGCTTCGGAGATCACGGCCACCGCCTCCTTCAGGACGTTCGCATAGGAGGTATAGTCCTCCATGGCTACGGAGGGTGAAGGGAGAGAGGGACGGGGCGGGGGAGGGGGGCTGGGACTTCCTTCTCCTTGTATGCAAGAGAGAGAGACAAGTCAGGGGGGGGGGGACAGGTGAAGAAGGAGCAAACAATGTCCGGCGCCCTCGGGGTCTGGTCCAAGTGAAGGCCTTCTCGATCAAGGGATCTCCCCCCCCCCGGCCTCCCGGTCTCCCGAGTCGCCACGCCGCTTGATCGCGAGCCGGGTTCAAAATGCACGGAGGGCGTAACGCCCAATCTGAGTGCCGGCGGACATGTCGGATCATGTGCCAACCCTTCAGGCATGCCAGACTGCGCCCCGGCGGCACACGCCGCCAATTCTCCCGCCCCCCCCCGCCCCTCCCTCCCCCACGCCCGATCGGGGCCGCCCACAAGCAAACAGGCCCGGGGGGGAGGAGGAACGGCGGGAAGAAACAAGCAGAAGAGGGCACAGCCAGAGCACACGGGGCCAGGGAGAGTTGGAGATAGCAAAGACAACGCCCACCCCTCCCTCCCACTCTGTCCTCCCGCTTGCCACCTGCCCCTCCCTTTGCCTTTGCCCTCCCCCGAACTTCGGAGTCCCCCCTCTCCCCGACCCCCCCGCCCCCCGCCCCCGTTCCTGGGCACCTCGTGTGTGACTCTTCTGCCCGCGCGCGCGCGTGCACGCTCGACAAAGCCACCGTGTCGACCGCTTCGCAGCAGCCACCCCCCCAGAGCCCCCTGGCGCCGTCGGTGCCCGGGAAACCGGGGGACTTCATCGGCCCCGACGATCGGTACCGGCTGGTCTGCCTAGTTGGCAGTGGGACCTACGGCCGGGTGTACAAGGCCGTTGACCGGCGCACTGAGCTCGCCGGCCGGGCTTCCCCTGGGGATGCTGGGTCCCCGTCCGAGGCCGCGGCCCCGCCGTACGTGGCCCTGAAGCAGGTTCTCACGTCGGCCTCCCAGGCGACGGGAGCCCCGCCACCAAGCTCCAACAAGCCGGACCGCGCCGAAATGGAGGGGGTATGTGCTGGGCTGCTGCTCGCCCCCGCCCCTCTGGCCCTTTTCCGCCCCATGCCCATGGAGCTAACATCCTCCTTGCCCAACCTCCGGCGCAGCTCCCCCTGGCGGCTTTTCGCGAGATTCGCACCCTCCAGCGCATCGCCCACGAGAATGTGGTCCACTTGCATGAGGCCATCCTTCAGAATGGTTCGTCTCGGGGCTTCATGTTCCTCTCGACCTGCCACGCACACACACACACACACACACACACACACACGCGCGCATCCGATGCCCCTCCCCCCCTCGAGGCTGACCTCTTCTCCACCGGCGCCTCTGCCCCCTTCCCATGCCCTTACAGATACCGTATATCTGGTCTTCGAATTCATGCCATACGACCTGTCCGGCATCCTGTCCAAGGTGGCTCAGGGCCAGCTTCTCCTGCGCGAAACACACATCCGCCGGTGGGCGCGGGATCTTCTGAGCGGCGTGGCTTTCCTCCATGCGGCCGGCATGATGCACCGTGACATCAAGTGTGCGTCTGTCTATCACTTTGTCTTTCTTTCTCCCGCCCGCCCGCCCCTTCCTCTCGATCGTCGCTCCTACGTGAGACAATGGGCGCACACACACACATGCACACATGCACGAGACTCACGCATGCGGATGGTCGGCCAGCTGCCAACTTGCTGATTGACGCCCAGGGCCGCCTGAAGCTCGGGGACCTGGGCCTCTCGCGGTCTTTCTGCCATGCGGCCCTGCCCGGGAGTCCGCCACCGCCAAACCCCCCGGCATTGGTGGGGACCGGGCCCTCATCGGGGCCGACCACGCGCGCGCGGCCAAATGGAAAGCGCTCGCGTGGTGACGGGGCGCCCCCTGCCGCGCCGACCCCCGTCGATGAGGAGGAAGAGGAGGGCGAGGCCAGCGAGGAGGGGGCCATCCCCGACCTGTCGCCACCCCCGGCGGCCAAACGCCCCCGCTGCCCGGTGAGCTTCACCTCGCGCGTGGTCACCCTCGGCTACCGGCCGCCGGAGCTGCTGCTCGGGTGCATCGACTATGGACCGGAAATTGACCTCTGGAGCGTGGGCTGTGTGCTGGCCGAGATGTACTTTGCCTTGCCGGAGCCGCTGCGCCGGTCGGCCGACGGCAGCCGCGGCCCCGGCACTCCGGAGCCCGAGCACCCCGACCGCGATGATGCATTCGCCGCACCGACCACCCCTCGCGACATGTGGTCCCCCTTGCCCGGGGATCGCACCCTGCCGATCGCACAGCAGGGAGTCGCCGGGCCCTTCTTCCGCGGGGAAACCGAATTGGCCGTGCTGTTTGCCATCTGGAAGCGCTGCGGGGTTCCCACGGCCGAGGGGTGGCCCGAACTTCGAGACCTCCCCTACTGGGGCATGATGCCTCGGCCGCGGGCTGGCGACACCCATCCCGGGACTCTGGCCACCGAGCTGTCACAGTGCGTTCCCGCGGCCGACCCCTGTCCGGCCCCTGTGGCCCGCGCATTCGTTTGGGATCCCCGCTTCATCGTTGCCTCTTCGCTTGCGCGCGCGCGCGCTCACCGGTGCCCCTCTTCCCTCCCCCCGCCCCCCTCCCCTAACCGCCATGGCTCTTCCCCTGGGCGCCAACACAGGATCGGCATCTCGTCCGTGGCACAGGAGCTCATTCAGGCGCTCCTGGTCCCGGCCCCGGCTCGGCGCTTGACCGCCTGCCAGGCGCTGGTCCACCCTTTCTTCCGCGGGCCAATCGCACCACAAGAGGAGTACGCGTGCCCTGTTTCTCTTGCCGGCTCCCCCCCCCCTCCATCCACATGCGAGGCGCAAGTGCCTGATCTTACCTTGCATCGCGATTGCTGACCCTCCCCGCCCCCACCCTCGCCTGCCTGCTTGCCCTCCGGGCGCATGTCCCTGCACATGTACGCGTCCACCGACGCACACACAGCATGCCCCTCCCCACTGAGGAGGTCCGATACCAGGACCTCAAGCAGTCTTCCCGGCGGAGGGGGCCCTGACCAGGCGAACGGTCGAGGAGAGGCAGCATTTGCTTGGCCAGGGGCAACCACACTCCGCCCCGCTCTCGCCAGGCTCTGCCCCCCCCCCCCCCCATCGAGGGAGACTAGACGCCGGCGCCTGTGCTCCCAACCTCCAAACAATAGAACATGTGACATAGCCGTGCTCCTCAAGAATTCGTGCTGATATCCGACTGCCAATGGTTCGGCGAGCGCGCGCGCACACACCGGCCCGAACGCGCTCCCCTGCCCAGTTTCCCCGCCTCCTCCCACGAAGGAAACCAGCCGCGGCTGACTGGCACTCTCGGGTTGGCCGCTCAGACTGAAGAGCCCGGCTCTCGATGGGCCCCCCCGGCGGCGCGGGGGCCTCCCGGCCAGAGACCCTCCCCTCCCCCCTCCCCCCTCGCCCCTCTCTCTCTCTCTCTGCTCCCATTCTTCGCCTCTTGCCAGTGTCAGACCCTACAACCGGGTGCCTCTTTTCCCTCTTTCGTTCTCCCCCCCCCCTCTCCCCCGCTTGGCTTTCGGTGCAGCTCTCCTCCCTGCCTCCCCCCGGCCCACCTTCACTCCGAGACACCATGTTCATCGAGGTTCGTCCACGCACCGCGCCCGGGCGCATGTCCGCCTCTCTCGCCCTCCCTCGCTGCCAAGTGCTGATCCTCATCCCGGACGACCCCGGCCCGACAAGCGTAGAAGGAGCTCTACCATGACCTGAAGCTGGACCCGCAATACTTTGGACCCGACCTGAAGGAGCGGGTGTTGGACATCTTCCACCAGCATGTGTCGGGGCGGTGTGACGAGAAGGACGGCTATGTTGTGGCGGTCCTCCGGGTGATTGCCATCGAGCCGGGTCGGACGATCGAGGGCGAAGGCCTGGCTGTCTTCCGAGTCAAGTACCGCGCCATCGTTCTGCACCCGTTCCCGCAGCAGGTGGTCAGCGCCGTGGTGACTGATGTCAGCCCGGTATGTGTCCTCCATGCGCCCCTCGCAGCTTGCTCTTTCTTTCTTCTTCTTCTTTTTTTCCCGGCCCCGTCTTGCGGGCTGCCTCCTATACCCCTACACTCCCCCTGCCGCTGGCGCGGCATTTCCCGGTGGTGATGGGATGTGCGGGCCGCATGCTGATCTTCCCTGTCTCTTCTCCAACAGCAAGGATTTTTCTCGCGCATCGGTCCGGTCACCATCTTCACTCCCCGGACGGTGCGCCTTCCATCCACCCTCTATCTATCTATCTCTCTCTTTCCCCCTCCTCCTGTCTCCTTCTTGCCCTCCAGTTGCTCGTGCTGATGTTTTCGGCCATTTTCTCTGACCCCACCTGCGCCGGGCTCGATGCATCACGGTGCCCGGGGTGGGGGGGGGGGGCGCGATGCGGGGCTCATCTCTGGCTTGCAGTATATCCCGGACTACTTCAGCTACAATGGCGACATTTCCCCGCCGCAATATCAGTATGAGCAGGAAAACCTTGTGCGTGGCCTCCCCATCGGCATGGTGCACCATTGATTGCGCTCCGGTCCCTGACAATCAGCATGCACCCCCCGGCTTTGAAGCACATCCGCAAGGACACCTGTGTTCGCATTCGGCTCATCAGTGTGACCTTCGAGAACCAGCATTTGGTGCGCCCACATGCGTTCGTCTGCCCGCCCCTTGTCGCGCATGCCTCCTCCCAACGCCCTTTTTCCTCTCCTCCTGGCGTGTCCTGACTCCTGCCATCGGCGGGGATCCTGCCTCCCTCGCTGCCGGGATGTGCGCTCGCGCACGCTTGGCCATAGGTCTGCAATGGAACCATCAACGACCACTACCTGGCCATCTAGGGTACGATGCGCAACACCCGCCTCCCCGGGAGGGAGAGAAGTGTCCGACAAAGTACCGGAACAATAAACAACAAACATTTCATATTGCTGCCCGTGTGTCGGCGATTGGGGGGGGGGGGGGGGCGCCGCACGGCGTCGGGTCCAATCGGTGCGCACCCGCTGCTAGAGACAGGCCTGGTGTATGGCCTCAATGAGGCTGTCAATGTCGGCGTCCGGGGAGGCGATGCGGAACTGGGCGCCTGGGGGTGGGGGGCGCTGGTGCGCTGGCGAAAGGCGATCCTGACCGAAGTCCTCCGTCATCCACTCGTCCTCGGGGTACTCGCTACGAGGGGGGGGGGGAGAGAGAGAGAGAGCGGAACAGGAATCAGACGTGCGAAAGTCCAGGAGGGCGGGCGGGGTGGGGCATGCGTGCGCATGTGCATGTGTGCATGCGCGTGTGTGTCTCTCTCTCTCGGCAAATGTGCCCGGCCGTACCTTAAGTTGATCGGAACACCCTCCTGTGACAGGTCTCCCATGCCAGCGAACATCAGACGAGAGGCATTGGCCCGGCGGGCATAGCTGGCCGCCTCTGCACGAAAACGCACGTCATCTTGGAGAATCTCATCATCAATGCCGACGCCGGGGACGAAGCCGGGCCCGGGGCCGCGGGCGGTGTCCTCGGCGCCGGCGTCCGAATCGTCGTCGCTGTTGGCGGAGAAGAACTCGGCGTCGGTATTGGGGTGGGCGCTACCGGGGGTCTCGGCGGCACTGGCGCCGGCACCGGCACCGGCACCGGCACCGGCACCGACCGAGGTGGCGCCTGCGCCCGCGCCCGCGCCTGCGCCTGCGCCTGCGCCTGCGCCTGACCGAGTGGTAGATGCTTTGGAGGCGGGGTGGGGACCGCCGGCCCCCCGGGCGCCAGGGTGGCTGGTTGGCCCGGCGGCCGGCATGTTCGAGGCAGCCCCGGCGCTGGTCGATGTGCGTATTGAGGGTGGCCGGAGTTGGGCATTGGTAGAGCAGGCATTCAGAAGGTGGATGTCATCGTCGGACCAATCGGAGTCGGACGAGTCGTCGAAGAGCTCGCTGAAGGCGGGAAGCGGGGGGAGGGGGGG